GAAAAAAAAATGCATATATCAATCACCTGGATCACCTGCTGAGAAAGAAAAAAGAAAGCAAGCAGAAGAGAACAAGAGTAATAGAATAAACAACATCACAATGATATATGGGGTAATGACAGTAAATACTAAATATTAAACATTATTGTGCAGCACATAAGATCAACAGAACACAGTGTGCTTTGAGGTAGGAGCCAAAAAGGGTGTAGTTTGTGGGTGTGATCACCCGTGTGTACACCTGTGAGCATGGACGCGCTTGTTTTTTGTTTTTTAAAAGGTTCCTTCATGTAATAATCTGCTAGAGGGTGTGGGGGGGCCACAGCCCCGTCCTCCAGGGCGTGAAGCAGGTATGGAGGAGATCAAAACTCCAGACATCCAGAGGCCCCCAGAACACAAGAGACCAAGGAAGACCAACAGAGGGGCAGCTGCGCCACTGTCCCGGAAAGAGCTGAGGAGAGTCCCAGATGAGGGCTCACTCAGCAGCCGCGGAGCAGAAGCCAGGGGGAGTTGCAGTGACGCGCCCGTGAGCTCCGCCAGCAGCCAGCTGCGCCTGAGTGACCGAGCCCCAGGCCGAGAGGCCGGGGGCACCCCACCTCCGAAGTGGCCCGAGCGAGCCCCAGGCTCCAGGCCCCGATAAGCGGCCGCCAAGGAGTGAGCCGGTGTGTACCTGGACGCCCATCCCCGGACACAAAGAACCACCAACGCACCGATGTCTGAGGGGGTCCGCCACTGGCAGGGGAAGTGGTGGTAGGGGGAGATAGGCCTCCAAACCTTGGAGGGCCTGAGATGTCCCCAGAGAGGTGGCGCCTGACACCCAACCTGACATATAGACACAGACATACAGGCACACACAGATACAAACATCCATTCCCACCCTCATGCTCTCTGACTGATGCATTCTGAGCACAGCCAGTGCTTGAAACTTTGGCTTGTGTAGTTATTACTGCACAGGGGTGGTAAGTGGCCTCTTTTTACACTCCCTGCTTCCACTGAGTTCAGATGATTTTAGAGGACACATAATGGGTCATCTGGTTGAGAATTTACTTCTGAGTCATGTTTGACATCTAAACAGGAACAACAAATCCAGGCAAATGGAAAAGTAGACTTTCATTACTAAGAAAAATATAACTGTCTTTACTTGATGATTGCTTCAAATGCTTGTGAAATCACAAGTTAACATCATACTACACTGCCCTCTTCTGTTTCAGGAGGATCCTGTCATCTTTAGGACAATGATATCTGAAAAATATCTGAAGGTAGAGTACTTGATGTTTTAAGATGGAGAGAAAGATGGGAGAATCATATCACCAATATAAGTGCACACAAGTATTTGCTATATTTTATGACTACATTAATGTCAAGTTTGTAGTAAAGAGGTTTTGAAAAGATTTGCGTCATAAATCATAAACTATAATAAAATAACTTTCTGAGGAATAAATCTGACTCAGTATGCAAAGTTATTTTGTGAAAACATCGTTTAACATGATTGAAGTTAAATTTTATATAACTTCAATCAACCACCTGAAACCTTGCAATTTTTTTTCTATCAAAATTCCTCTTCTGTTCCTGTTGTTCTGTTTTATCTACTCTGTTTACCATACTCATCTTTATACATCTCCATTAGATATCATCCGTTAAATTTTGTCATCAGTGCCAATTTAGGCAGGTTCATTAATGAGTTAAGCTATGCCCTCTACAGGATGTCCCTGGTAGTGACATATTTCTGACACATTTCTTTATGCCAGCGGCCAAGTTAAAAGTATCCCAGTAAATACATTTAACTCTTACTAGTGTTCATATTCTGTGCCTTCACAACATGGTTTGAGTTCATTTTGACCTAGGCTAAAAACTCCCCCTGTCAAATCCCCTCAAATTTTGAGCTACAGATCTGTTTAGGATGTTTATAAAGCCATGTCTGTGTATATAATAAATGGATGATTAATCTTTAATGGTTTCAAGAGCAGCGGAATTTTTTTTTAAAGGTTTTACAATCACTTTTAGACAAAGCAACTATTGTCACACAATAATTACTATAATTTTAATCTAACTTATTTAAGAATAAATGGAGGAAAGACCCTGCTGTTATTTAACTAAAAAATCACCTTACCGTGATGTGATGGTGCTAACTACTCTACTACCATAACACCCTTTTTCAGGTCACATCTCTGGGTCAAGACACCCTCCAACCTCTGTGTTGGTTGCATATAAGCAACACTGTTTGTAGATTCACCCATGACCCTTGTAAGACCAGCAGATGTCTCTGCAGGAACCCATTGGAAAAAAAAGTTTCAAGATTCAACTAAAGTCTTAATTTTCTTCATTTAACACTGACTGGATCTGAAAAGCTTTCAAATAGATGCTGGTTAAATTTGACCCAGAATAGTCTCATTTCGGGCTGAAAGAATAACAGAGTTTCTGCTGCTGTCAAATATCAAAACAGGTTAAACCTGACCCAAACACAATGTGTTAACTGTCTTCACTGAGGACAAACTTGCTTGACCACTATGTGCATGTATGTCATTGACTGACACATATGTGCACTGACATTAATGAATAAATCCACAAACTCAGTAGATGCAACAAATATCTGTGCATAAATTACAGTATATTCTATTGAGTTTTGGGTAAATTCAACTTAATTCAAATCAGTTTTATTTATATAGCCTTGAAAGTTGTCTTGAAACACAGGACTTAGCAGTCCTTTGTCATGGGTCACTCATTTGAGACTAATAAACATCACATTTCAGCTGGGTATGAAGTTTGGAAAGACATTTTGGAAAGAATTAATGACCATTTGATGGTACTGATTGGGAGTGATTGTTAAAATACATACAATCAGTGTAAGTTGAAAATTGTAAATATCAGTGTATCATCATACATTATGTTTTTTGCACAGTTTTGTCATCTAATGCCATCTAACTTTTAAAGTACAGCAGCCTCAAGACCTAATACAGTTAAACATGTAATTAGTTGTCATGAAATTATATATAAGCTATAGATAATAAAATTACTTTTCAAACCAGTCCTAAAAGTGTTTATTTTAAAGTTAGGAGTCTAAAAAAATTGGAAGCCAGCCCTCAGAGGTCTTAAAAAAAAGCAGTTTTTGATACTTAATTTCGACCTTAGTGTTATTAGCATCAGAAGTGACTGCCTGTTTAATTCATATCCTGTGCCATAAATACACAGCAGTCAGTTCTATCACACCAAAACACCTAAAAATCCGAGAAAACTAAGCATTGTAGGATTTCATTTGTGGTCCCTGGTCCACTTAAAAATAAAGAAAGTCTTGAGGAAAGAGGGATTCGGAGTAAAGTTCACTCTATTAGTACGAGAAGTCTACTTTTCTGTAATAGTTATTGTAGGTAAGAATTGTTGAGGTTCAAAAAGGAGACAGGTGGCTTAATAAACCTTACAAACACTAATAATTTGTTTTAAAAAATGTATTTACTTTCAAAGGATTATATTTAAAAATCCAACTTTTCATTAAAAATAACTTAATAGTTTTACGAGACTTGTTTGTGATTTTCAAAAAACATTATTCAGCATTTCGATTTAAAAAAATACTTTTGAATTAAATGTAAGCATCTCTTACTGAATAATTATAGCTAAAAACTTACAAAGCACCATTAGCATGGCAGATATATTTTCCTTATATTGAAACATTGCTACACTTTGTTCATTAAATGCTGCTTTCCTTTTCTACTTAAAAAATACAATTCCTGCATTCAATATATCTGACATAAGATAAATACCTTAAGCACTTGAGATAATATATTTTATGATGGATAGCATATTCAGTATATATTGCAGCTGGATCTAGTTTATATACTGATCTGTGGCTTAGCTACATTCACACAGCAAAATGTATATATCTCAAAATAAGGTATCAAAGCTTTTCAATACTTGAGTACAGTGTACATTGTTTCTCTCTAATATACCCACTTCATACCAGCAAAGCATGTAGAATCCTATTTCAATTAAAATGTTTGTACCTCCATCTGTTACTGAGGAGGAAAGAAAGCCCCATAATGTTTTTCCTGACGAGCTAATATGTTCAATTTACATCTGAAAGGTCTGAGAATGGCAGTGCTTTATATTGTGCGTTTTGTTAGTCGCACTGAGAAGTAACTGTGTTGTATCCGTTTGATGATTGACTGGACTGACTTAAGATTTAATGATTTTCTTTCTTAAGTTTGTATCAAGTGCTTCAGGTTCAATGACCTTCGACCCCTTGCAGTAAAAGCAGAGAGAAAAATACATTAAAAAAATTTTCCTAGCCATACGTAATGTAAATAAATATAGTTATCAGCCTGTGTTGTTAGACTGATTGCATGTTTACTTGTGTCATTAGCCAATTTTGTAGCTCAGAACATTCAGAGATGTTTCAACAATAATCATATAACAGATGCTGCAGTTTCACTTTGATAATCTTTGATAATTAAAGAGAAAAAGACATATATAGACAGTTCTCCTCTCAAATGGTTTAATTTATGTAAATATTCTATGTCTAAAAACACACAGTATGAACATGTTCACTTTTTGCTGTCAATAATTCGAGGCTATTTCTCTTGTGCTCTTGTATCATCACAAATGTATTCTCAATGTGGGGCCATCTATCAATATGGAATCCAGTAACAGGGTATATTATCTAAAAGATAAACTAATACTTTTTAATATTACCATTATGAAGACAAATATGAAAGGAAGAACCCTCTGCAGGTTGTAACTTGTAGGACTGGCTCAGCAAGACAACCAACCCAGAGACTGACAGAAACTAGGAGTGTATGGGTTTCCCAGTATGGTGGTGATAACTGCACAGCACACTGTCAAAATGAGTCTTTGCATTTGTCATGAGGCTCCACCTGCACTGCCATATACAAGTGTTTTAACAGTTTGCTCAAACGTTTAATGTTAAACTTAGTGTATATTTTTAATATATCATTTGCAAGTATGTGTGTTTTTTAAGTTCTATCATCTCATTTTGTCTGCAAAAATAAATAAACCAAGGTCAAGTTCATATTAAATGTACCATTTCGACTTTCTTTTTTGGGCAAATGCAGACAAACTAAACAATCCTGAGATCGGGGTTGAATGTGCAGCTTGGCTTTGCGCACAAAGGTATTTGCTCCTGCTTGGAAACAGGGTGTTGAACAACAAACAGGGTAACACAACTAAAGTTAGCAGCTCTAACAGCAAAGTGATTGTTTTCTTCACCTTTTTAATAGTTTAATTACGTTACTGTGTCCACTTTTATTGGATTTACTATCTATGGGCTATGATATGTGGTTCTCCAGCAGGTTGAACACGTCAGACAAGATTGCAGAACAAAAGGTTTTACTGTTTGAGGCTTCCTAAGATAAACACTTGCTTGGCGATTCTCAGTAAAGGACAAGTCACGTGTATAAACTTTTCCAAAGAATCAAGGAAGGAAACTGATAACATCTTAAAAATCCTCACTCCAACTAAAGCACATCACTCCATTTTCAGTAATTCTGGACACTGAATACAGCCAATCGCGTGTCTTTCTTTAAATGTCAGTAAATTACTCAATTCTTTGACCGAGGCATGCGGATCGCTGGGCTACATCAGTACAATCCAGGGAAAAACCGAAGCTGTCACTGCGAGTAAAACAAACAAAGACAGCAGGCAGAACAACCATCCCGTTGTCGTGCAAATCCTACGCCTGCGCTGGGGGCGAGCCGCATGTATTACAACACCGGGCGCATCTCCTTCAGTCATGGGTCGCCCTTGGGCGCTTATGATGAATATCTGGGATCCCTTTTGGCAGGGGCTGATCCGCTTCTGTCGGCGAGCTCGCTGAGAAAAGCCTCTAAAGCAGCGAGTGATACAGTAAACTTCACTCCGTAAACTGTCTCCTGAGGCGCGCCGTGCGCTCTGCTGCTGTCCCACCGGCAAAGGGAGAGGCACCTTCAGGGTCTGCCGCTCTTTCGGATCATTATCGGCTTCGAGTGAGTTCAGCGCTTCATTTTGTTTTTCGATGAATGTAAGATGTCGGCAGATCGAGCAAACGATCGTGTTTCTGATATTTCCATCGCTGTTGATGGTCACCAGCGTTTTGACGAGACAATCGTGGCAGAAAACATGTCCGCAGCTTAAAGTTCGTTCGGTCCCAGAAAGATACTCGTAACATACCGGGCATTCTGGTCCGTCGTCCTGGCTTTCGTCCTTATAGAGTGCCATACTTCCAGTGTGAACTTAATACAGAGAGCATGAAAAGATAGACTTTGTTTACCCGTTGAGGGAAAGCTCCAAGTTCTTTCTCTTCGATACAACTCTCTTACTTTTAACTGTGGGTGGAGCAGAGGCGTGCATAAACGTGTGGCACAGGGTGGCAGTAATCCTTGAATGGTCTTACCTCCTGGGTAGGTCTTACTTTCAAACTTGTCCTGCCTTTCTCCAAAACTTAAATAGCTCTGACTGGATCTATTCTCTCAAGAATATTTTTATTTTCATTGTTCAGTGATAAAAGCATCAAGATATTTCATCATAGTTTTTGCGCAATCCTTTTTATTCGATGATCATGTTGTTTTTGTCAGGTTGTTTGCAAAAACTATGCAAGGAAAGTTACTGGTTAACAAAATTAGTACACAGCAAATTCAAAAGTGTTAAATGTATTGGTGTTAGTAGTCTTCTCTAAGTAGAGTCACATTCTTTTAATGTAACTCTGAGGTGTAAAATGATAGTAGTTAAAACCAAGTGTTAAAAATTAGTGTTTCTATGTCAAATCTGGAGGTGTTAAAATGGAAACATTAACTCTTGACCTCTTAACTCCGAACTCCTAGAGGGGCTATGACCAGAGGTGGGTCGAGTATCCAAAAATTGTACTCAAGTAAGAGTAGCATTACTTTAAAATATTATTACCCAAGTAAAAGTGAAAAGTAGTCGTCAAAAAAGTTACTCGAGTAAGAGTAAAAAAGTACTTGGTGAAAAGACTACTCAAGTAGCGAGTAACTGTATGAAATGTCCGATTTATTTTATAAATAAATGCTATCAGACAAACAAAATAAATATACAAATTTTAGTATTTTCCAAAGGAATATATGTAAAAAGATCCACAAAATAAGGCACAACAATTCTAATTTCAAGATTTCAGATTTTCACAACATTTTTCAAACAGGCTTTTTTCACCAATACCTACAGTAAGTAATATATAAACAGTGCAAACAATTTCCAGTGACAAGATATGCTGTAAACTTTAGATTCATTTTTGCTCCAAATGGCACAGCAGCTTCAGAGAAAACAGAACGAGGCATCTTCAACATATGTACATACAAGGCAGCTCAGTTTACCATAAATTGTATAAGTGTGCATTTTTTTCTGCATATTTAGCAAAAATGTGCCCTTTCTTCACTCGGTGAGGTGATGGTTAAGCTTCAGCAGCAGTTTGCTCTCAAGGTGCATACACATAAGGTAAATGTACACCAATATTCCAATGACAGGTGTGTGATTCATATCGAAGTTATGTGCGGATTAGTGTACAACGATAGAAATTTAGTATGTTTTTAGAGGCCCGTGTGCAGTGTTGGTGCCCAGTCTGGAATTGTTACATCCATTTCACATGCTGGTTTGCCTGCAATAATGTATATAAAAATGTATATAAAAATTGGTGTATTTCAAAAATAAAACTATGAAGATATTCAAAATAAATTTCCTGTGGTGGGAAACTATTTTGTGCAACTTTTTTGTATTTACAGTTTTGAGGCATAAGCCTCTTAAATTTCTCTAACTAGAAATATATGTTAAAAAATCAAAAGCGATTTTCTTTTTTTTCTTTTTAGCTTATTGCACTTTTTTGCAATTTATGTAATTACTATGCACTTAATGCATACATATTATTAAAATTTGGGCTATAATGGTTGTATTGATGTATAGCAACTTGGAATGCTCCCACAAATGGCACTACAACATGTAAAAATATAATATAAGCTCTAAGGTTCACAGGAACAGTTTAATTAGACACACATTTAGCATTTTTCTTTATATTCTTGTTTCCATCACTGACTAGGGATGGGTATCGTTTAGGTTTTATCCGATACCGGTGCCAAACCGGTACTTTTGAAACGGTGCCGGTGCTTAAACGGTGCTTAAACCGGTGCTTAAAGAATGGAGAACACAAAATTGGTCCAAAAACCTCTCATGTTCAGCTGTTTTTTTGTAAAAAGATAACAATGTTAGCCTTTTCTGCAGCTATACGGCATATATGGCATCACTCTTGGCTGGAAGCAGTGCTTAAACAATGGAAAAAACACAAACTTTGTCCAAAAACCTCTCATGTTTAGCTGTTTTCCACTTTTTCTTTGGTCATTTTAGCCTTTTTGGCCAGGGTGAAGGGAGTATCTGCCATCAAACAAGAAGACAGCCGCATGTAGCTATGATGATGTTTGCTAGTTCACCTTACATACATTAATGTAATAACGTGGTTAGCCTACTCAACGTAAATTACACATGAACAACATTAAGCTACTCATGTAGAGAAGAATGGCTGCTGCTGCCATCATCATCCGTCATCATTTCTGCTACACTGGCAGAGCTAGGGGCCAAGACTCTCCTCTTCGTGTTTTTGGGGGATGTTGCTAACTCCGGGTCCGATAACAGGCAACCCACCCGCAGTAGATGTGCTCGGTGTGAGGTCTCGCAGCAAGCTATCAAATACGGCGCATTTCTCGGCTTTTAAAAAAAACGCTATGCATCGCCAGGTGTTTCATCAGATTTGAGGTGTTACCTCCTTTGACAGTATTACCTTAAATCACTTGTTGCAGGCTGCTGAGTTTGCATATTTTGCTGTGAAGTACAGCCAGACTTTTGACCGCTTTGCCTTGGTCATTTTTAATCTGTAGCTCTGCTCTAAAAGAACGTACATACCTGGCCCCGCCTGCTATCCTCGGAAACGTAAAATGATTGGCTAGAATCTAAAGTGTATCACAGCTCAGGAAAAAAAAGCACCGAAATGTGCGCTGCTTTTCGGTCTGGTTACTACCATTTATGTCAGAACTGGTACTGGTACCCATCCCTATCACTGAAATGTTCAATATGATTACTATCAAAGGAGAAAATAAACCCTGTGTAGTTTAAAAAAAACTTTAATTCAATCAAACTGAAATGTTGCCGAACTCTGATGGACATGTCTTTTAATCTTGTCAACAAAATCCGTAATCATCTAAAGCTGCCATTTATCATCTTGTAAAATGTTCCCTCTGCTTCTGTTGCACATCTCCCCCAACACTCTCTTCTTCACCTGTCATGTGCAGCTGGTCCAACCCCTGCATGCCTCCTTAAACTGGTGTGTTTACATCTCTTTACCTCTGTTGTGAACTTTACACAAAGTTTGTGGTAACAAAATCAAACTGATGAAGATCTCCTTTGAAAAACACACACTCACGAGACAAAATAAAACCAGACTTCTCAAAGTAAAAGCAGAGACCTCAAAGCTGGTAGTACAAAACACAGTGACAACGTGCGTATTAGATACCCTCACTCCAAAAGCATAAATATAAAAAAAAATGAATCTCCAAGAATATCATCCTAAAAAATGGCACTGAGGGGGGTGTTACAGTGGAAAAAAAAGCAGCCATATTTTCATCATAAAATGCTGAATTTTAGTAAAAACAATGCTCTGCAGTTTGATACTGTCATTACAGACAAAGCGGATGTTTAAAGCATTTGGACGCACATTTGAAATGCCATAAGTCTCCTTATCAGCTGGAAATATTAAAGCCATAAAATGACTTTTGAGAGTGGATAAAAACTATTGAACAACAGCAATGTTGAGCCTGTTCCAAAATTTGAATGTACATGTGTTGAAGGTGCGACTCTTGTTGAATTATTAAACATATTTTTCTTCAATCTTTCAAGCCATAAAAAAACCAAAACAACTTTTAATTTTCTTCTGCTTGAGTCTCAGCCTCGGGTAGCTCTACTTATCATTGATGAGTCAGTTGTCTGTTTGTGTTACTTTTTTCAAGGAACAGTCACCCTTACCAACATTATTGGTAAGGGTGACTTTATGTGTTTGGTTACTTACTTAAGTGGATGTACTGTGGAAAGTTTAACCTTACATACTGTTACACCCCGGCCTAGGCAACCGGCGTGCAACACAGGAAAAAAAAAA